GCAGCAGATGAGCAATTATTGGCTTAATCATTCATTTATAGTTTTTCCTTTAATATTTGAAAATTTTAAAATAATTATAAAATCACTATTATAAAATATCAAATCATCAAGAAATCAGATTTTGTCAGAGGTTTGCTCTTTTTGTGTATGGAGTAAGAAAAGTCACAAAGGGCTTTGAAAAACAAACTTTTCTTCAATTTGCGACTAAATCACACATAATCACTGAAGTTGTTGGTCTGTTCCATATAAGACTATAGAAGAGTAATAGTACATTTAATAAGAGTACAATATATACCTTTTCTACATAAGAATTTGATTTTGCCCATGTTACTGTTGTTAATAAAATACATTTTGTAAGCTGCCCAACTCAAGCTTAGTGATTTACTGTCAAAAGTGTATAAACATGAAATAAACAAGAAATGAACATGTGATATTATTAGTAACTGCACTTGTTAATGCAAAACAATAGTAATTTTATCATCATATATATATTTGTCATATCCCTCTGAAATTAAAAGAATACTGCACATTGCAATTTCTATGAGTTGTCTATTTATTATCAAAGCATTTGTCAGTAATACAGTTAAAATGGGGAAAATATGTGTGTAAAAATAGTTAGTCTAGATCCCTAATATATGATATATGGAGATTAAAAAAAAAGGAGTGGGTAGATTTTTATCATTATAGGGTGGTTGTGTACACACACTGCCTACACACATTTATGTGCAAACAACATGTAAAAGTGGATTTTGCATAATAGGTGCCCTTTAAGCTTTAATTCAAGGGGTTGAACAAAAATATAACATAAAATACTAAGGAATAACAACCATTTTTATACACAGTCCCCATGGGCTCAAATGTAATTGGACAAATAAATATAATCATAAATAAAATGTTAATTTTTAATATTTTGTTGAGAATCCGTTGCAGGCAATGACCCCTTTAAGTCTGGAACTGATGGACATCAGCAGAGACTGGGTTTCTTCTTTGTGATGCTTTGCCAGGCCTTTACTGCAGCTGACTTCAGTTGTTGTGTGTTTGTGGCTCTTTCTGTCTTTAGTTTTGTCTTCAGTGAGTGAAATGCTGCTCAATCAGGTTGAGATCAGGAGATTGACTCGGCCATCACAGAATAATCCACTTTTTTACCTTCAAAAACTCCTGGGTTGCTTTTGCTGTATGTTTTGGGTCATTGTTCATTTGTACTATGAAGCGCCGTACAATCAGCTTTGCTGCATTTGGCTGAATCTGAGCAGAGAGTATATCTCTATACACTTCAGAGTTCATCCGGCTGCTTCTGTCTTCTGTCACGTCATCACTAAACACCAGTGACCCAGTGCCACTGAAGCCATGCAGCTCATGCATCACACTGCATATGGACCTAACTTTGTGTGTGTATGTAGAGTGTACACACACACACCC